GCCATCTCTTCTTGATAAACCTTTCATCACAGCTGCCATCAGGTAGAAAGTGGATTGAGTCTAGTCACATCTTCCGTTTCCTTCTTTCAGTAGATAAACAGCTCATAAAAAGCAGACAGCGAGAACCAGGAAAAGGCAAAGCAAGCCGTGACTCCCTTGACCCGTCACCTGGGCCGTACGCTTGTGGTGGGTGTGGGATGAGAACACCCTGAGCACGTCGTCAGAGACCAGCGCTGTGGAATTCAGCTGGTGCCAAAAATAGGCAGCAGCATCCTTCAACTTTTGGTCTGTGGTCACTGCTCCCAGTGACGGAGCACTTCCCGTGTGTTAAATGCACTTTCTCATTTAGTCCTTATAACAGTCTAGCAAAGTAGATGACATTGTACCAGCTTACGATCTTCAAAATCATACTTCACTCTACCTTTACCCAGACAGCTCCTCGCACACATGAGTCTCAGGGAGTTAAGTGGCTGGCCTGCAGCTCCCTGCCCAGGCAGTTCCTTCAGGGCGGCTCACCAGAGCCTTGCTCTAATAATCCTCAGTGCCTCCTTTGGAGGCAGTGAAAGTTTTGTTTAGAAAATGAAGTGTTTACCTTTCCACTCTATTCCTCCTTGGTGACCCTTCACAGGAAAACTACTGGATGGTCAGAAGAGGAGAAACAGACTGGAATTTTAAGGCATCTGAGGGGCAGTGCAGAGGCTGCCGTGGATGCCAAATGCAGGCAGGGCCACGCCGCTCCGGGGGCTCGGTGAGGGGGCAGATGCGGCCCTAGGGCGCCGGGGCCAGGATGAGCCACCCACTCATCCTCAGCCCTTCCTCCTCCTGCTCCGGGAAGGATGGGCTGGCGCCCAGCTGGGCAAGGGAGGGAAGCAGGGGTTTCCGTGGTTTCCTCCCCTGACGATGACCTTCTCGAGGGGACCACCATCCTACGGGGTGAGGCCCGGGGTGGCCCTCTCGTCGCAGAGCTAGGAGCAGCCAGGCGGGCATCTGGCTCGGGCCTGCCAGAGGGGGGCATCCCCTCTCCCCCAGGGGCTACCCCGAGACCCTGTTTTCACAGAACCAGTGAGTCCCACAGGCCCCCAGCACAAGGACTGACGTCCTGTCGTCCACCTGAGACGCTGCAACCCACCCCCCCACCAGCCTGATGGCGGCTCCCAGCTCAGGACACTGGGGAACAGCTCCCAGCGTCCGCTGCCTGAGTCAGGTGTCAACAGAACACTGTTTCCTGGGGGCTCCCGTAACCAAAACGGACCCTGCTCTGGCTTTTGTTCTTTTTAGTAAAAATACTGCTGTCGGCCTCTGGTGCCGCCTGTGGCTGTGGTGCCCCCCAACCCCCCAGCTCCGGGGCTGGGGGGGTGCCCTCTCTGGTCCCCCACCCCAGGTTTTAAGGCTGTTTTCACGCCAAACCCACTGGATCTTCCAGGCGCTGGCCAGCCAGTGTGCCGTCACGCCGCAGGCTTGGTGGCTGTAACTTGGAGCAGTGTCCAGAACAAATGCTCCTTTTGTTTCTTGTTTCATTTGAGAAACGCTCTAGTTTGAGTAGGAAAGCAACCCTCTGCTGCTCAGTATTTGCCGTCACCTCCTTCCCCCTGAGCCAGTCTGCCGGGGTGTGTTGGGCCGTGGTTCTCACGCATCGGGGTCATGGTGGGCCCATTACAGCGCTGAGCCCCCCAGTCCTGCTTCCTCAGGCCCAGGGGTGGCCCTAAGGTCCTCCGCTGATACCGAGATGTTGGTCTGGGAGCGACACAGTCTTAGACCCGCTGGACCCGCCCATTCCTGTAAGACAGCGTCTCGGTCGTCCTTTCACCAGCATCTTCCTGATACGTAATATGACCTGTGCCTGCCTCACATTTGCCTGGGGCACTTGGGTGGGGAGTGACTGTCACTGCATCCCGTCTTCTGCGTGGTTGGCCTTCCTCATGCCATGACCATGGTCCTCAGGGGCCCTCAGGTAAGTGATGCCTGAAGTAGACTCGGCGTTGGGGAGGGGAGCTCCCCCTGCGCTTCTGAGGCTTCAGCAATCCACGTGCTCTGCGCTTGCCACGTCCCCTGGGCTCTCGGGCAAGGACCAGGCGAGGGTGTCCCCCTAAACCTGGGTATTGTGCTCCAGGAGGCGGATGCACCCGGATGCTGTGAGAACGTGGTCGGACCCCGTGTGACTGACGGCACAGGTGCCAGGGCGTGGATGGCGCCTCCGTGCTCGGCCTGACTCAGCCCAGGGCTGACGGGTGTTCTCTCTGGGAGCGTGGAAACGTGTCTGGTTAGGAGCCTGAGAATGTCCAGGCCAGGAGGGCCCACGTGGGGGGCTGAGGAAGGGGCTCCTCTTGGGCAAACACTGTCTCTGCCCCCAGGGGTGGTGGCAGGTCTGACTGCCCAGGTAGTGGCTTCATGGTCCCAAAACTGAGCTGCCCACAGCCAAGGACTGCATTGGGAGGCTCTTGGACTTCCTCCCCCAGAACTTCTCCACACACGTGGGTTCTGACCCGTCTAGAATGCTGAGGTTTACATGCGGGCCTTTCTGGGTGTGATTTTACAGACGTCTGGGCCAGCACCTGAGAGCCCAGGCCCTGGGACCAGACCACCGGGTCCACAGCAGCCATAGAAACCTGCAGAGCTGTGCACCCCTCTTGTCCCAGTTCCGTCCCTCACCGGCAGACCCCTCCCGGGGGGGCCACACCCCAGGCACAGCCACCACGTGGCACGAGGCCCTGGCACCACGTGGCTGTGGTGATGGCCTTGCTGGGCCCACTGTCCTGGCAGGTCCTGCGCGGCACTGCTGTCCCCAGGGTTTGGGCTGTGGGTCCCTCAGCCTGGAGCCACCAGCTGCATGGAGTGTCCTGCTCCAGCAGTCGCTCTTCAAGGGCTGTCGTCAGGTCCTTCAAGGTCACAAAACGCACTGCCTGGAGCAGAGCGGTCGAGGCGGAAATGTCCTGGCTTCTCCCAATTTTTATGCGCCCATCTGCCTCTCAGGTAAAATGAGAAACAGATTGAATCATCCCTCTGCTACTCACCATCTGGCCCCGTCCCCGAGGCCGGCAGGAACAGGGACGCAGCGACCGCTTTTCCCTCACGGACACGTGACCGGTCGGTCAGTCTGTCTGACATCACCTTCTCAGCTGTAAAGCTGTGCTTGGTTTTGTCCTGTTTTCAGTCACACCTCCCTCCCCTCCCATTTAGGTGATTTCACAGGGAAGCGTCCATAAGCCCCACCCACTTGTGGACTTAACACCCTCTACTGGGTTCCAGGGGCTCCTGGGAAATGGCACATCTAATCACCATCTTTAAGATTAAGACTTGAAGACAAGGGAACATCATCTTCAGCTTCTTAAAGAAAAAAAAAGTTCTTGGAATCTTGTTTACTACCTGCATACACAAAAGCTAATTCCAATTTATTTGTGGAGCTGCCCGAGAACACTTTTTCTTTGAGCTCTGTGTGGAAGTTAGTTTGGCAAGTGTCAGCATGAACTCTAAGCAAAGCGAGGATGCCGCAGCCACACGCCAGGAGTGTGCCCACCCCCGGAGCTGGTCCCACCCCTTCTGGTCCTGCTCCTCCTTCGTGAACCTCCATCCTTACACCAGTCGCATCACATACAAAATTACCAAACCATTCGTCCCTGACCAGACTGGACTGAAAATACTGTGAGTGCATGTGGTTTTCTCTCGCTGTCGCCACGGCCACTGTTCCTGGAGACGCCCAGGCAGCTGGAGGTGGACCTGGGAGAGGGTTGTCCTTCAGGGGCATCCGCCAAGGACAGAGCGCAGTCCTGTCTCCGTGGGCAGGTCGTTGAGGAGAAGTGAACACTTCGGGGGACGGGGCCACGCTTACCTGAGTAGGCGAGCTCTACCTTCTGCAGCTCTAGGCCTTTGATTACTAATGACCAGTCGTTTACTTACAGAACGCTGCACGTGTTACAAAGAAGGAAACATGGAGCTGGATAACCCGTGTGATTAAAAGCCATGTTTCAGTGTTTCCTCCACAGCTGGTCTCTGTGTTAAGAAACCTGGCCCCTAGGAAATGCAAAAACCTGATTTATGAATTTGACCGCATCTGTCTAAGTGAACACCTGCATCTCAAAGACACTGTGAAATGTGACGCATTAGCCATCATCCTGGTCATGGTCATGCTGAATCTGTGCCTCAGTCTCCCCCAGCCTCCCCCTCCCGACACCTGGTACACGGCTAGCCTCTCCGCCTCGAAGGCCTGAATTTGAACCTCAATCTTCACATCTTTTCATTTTCTCCTACGATCCCAGCTCCTCCACAGAGCCTTTGGAATCTCTGCCGGAGCTCACCGTCCCCCCTCCTTCTCCCAGCAGCTGCAGTCTGCATGCTGGCGACACCCAGACACTTTATGTGGGCCGCTCTCAAGCACTCAGAAACGATGACTGACAGGGAGCACTGGCGTGCTTGCATTTAGATCCTGCAGTTACACACTGCCCGCTTTGCCTTACCACACATCCTCCTGTCTGCTCCTGCATCCACCCACCAAGTACATTTTACCCAAAGACATGTCTGCGTGCACAGCGTTAACTAGGGCTCAATGGTGGTCACTTTTCTTTTTGAGATAAAGAGGGAGTGTGTGGTGTCTCGCTGTGGTCTAGTTTCCTCCCAGGGCTTCTAAGTTCTGTCATTTGGATATTTTCTTTCGTAGTTTTGATTTTAAAGTATGTAGAACTTGATCATAAAACTTGGTATGTAATTAAGCGTAAGTTCTGAGTCAACCCAGAGATAACTGAAAAATTCAGTCTTCTGACATCGCTTCAAGTGTGTAGTAATATCAGCAAAATAAAAACTCCTGGGAAACATATTTGGGTCTAATCTCTAAGCTAAGTGTTGATGAGATAGTTTAAAAAAAAATTGGAATAAGCAGTTTCAGGGCCCACATGCTGCCCGTGACTTTGAACTGTCCCGTGGTCAGTGCTTCCTGGAGCCTGAGCACGATGTCCCTCTGAGGCACGGTCTGCGGGGACCAAGCCAGCTGACCTCTTCTCTGTTCACAGGTCTGCTGCAGAAGTGTCCTTCCACCGACGACTTTGTAGACGCCCTCGTTTCTGACTTGGACCTCGACTTTGAAACTTTCGTCATGGATTCTGAATGATAGAAACACCTCAAATCGTTTGTAAATCAGTCGTGTCATGGAGATACTAATTTCGTTGTAAATGCTACAACTATGAACACTTGCTTCTGATTTCAGTATTCAGCTCTGTAATTTATGAAAACCCTTAAACCAACAGAACTTGGAATAAAGAATTTCTTTCAGTTATTTGGGCTTTTAAAATCTGGCAGATTTTTGAACATAAGGAAATCCATTCAATGAGTGGGTAAAAAGTAGAGCACGAGGTGGTAGATTCAGGGGCCGGCCCACCCTCAGTCCAGCCACTCTCCCAGTGACCTCTGCCCCTTCCCCGTGTTCTCTACTTGGGTAGAGATTTCATTAAAAAGCACAATTATTTCCATCTGAAGCCATCTTCAGAAAGATTACACATGCAGTCCTCAGTGATTTCTTCAGACTACTATAGAAGTGGCTTTGAAAATGCAGCTGTCAGTCACAGCACCCAGGAAGCACCTGTGATTACCGCACTGGCTTTTCCCACGTCCGAGGAGTAGATTCCACAGGTGGACTCAGAACAGAGACCAAAGTCTTGACCTCAGACTTTCTGGACTTGGTTTTGAATGTAGAAAAGTACAGGTAAAATTAATGACGTCCAAGATTCAGTAACTGATAAACAAGGAAACTGGGATTCAAACCCTGTCTTAATCCTGAACATTACTGCATATGGTGTCACCATGTGCTAATAATAGGAAAGAAATTATTTAATGGGTTTTTCCCACTAAAGAAGTTAATTACAGACTTTAGTTTAAAATGTCTGCCAACAGCCCCTTCCTGCTTCTCATTAAACCACCAGTGATGATGTAAAAAGAGAAGATTAAAAATCCCTAAAACTAGGACATGTGTCCAGCCCCCACCCCCAGACTGTGGAGGAACTGCTACAGACTAGAAACGTCAGGGGCCGCCCCCCCTCGCCGGGTCCACCTGGACGCGGGGGCTGGGCCCGGCTCCGGCACCACCTGCAGGACGTCCACGTCAGCCTCATACTCCCCCCTCCCCAAACCGGCTCAGTCTGTGAACCTGGAAACAACCCATGGAGCATCCTTGGGCAGAGCTGGGGCGGGCCTGCAGTGGGGCCTCACCCTCACCCTCACCCACAGCCAGTCAGGGAGGGCGGGCTGGGCGCAGGTGGTGCAGCCACGGGGGGAGCCGGCCCCAGCTGCTTCTGCAGCCCCTCCGTTGGCGGGGGGAAGGGAGTCTCTTGCCTGTCAAGCCTTCCGTCCACAACCCGAACTCTCACCTGGGAGACGGACGTGGAGGAGTTGATACCAACTTTCCTGTCAGTGGCAGGTAAGTGTGAAAAGGTGCTTTAACCAGCTCCTGGTCAACCCAGTGATGATGCCCTGGGTCTTTACTGTCCCTTTTCAGCTGAGGGTCAGTAAGCAAAAAAAGCCAGAAAGCCATATAGAGCCTCAGAAAAAGGGGCGATCGCCTGGAAGATGCTAGAAGATCCAAACGTGGAACTTTATTTTTTAAAAGAAACTAAGGCACATTGTAGAAAACTTCCCTGATGTCCTTAGTGACAGCTGAGAAAACACGGCTGTCCAGGGAGCTGAAAGCCATAAAGAAAGAACAGGCGGAAAATTTAAAACAGGATAAGCCAACAAGAAAGGTGGAATAGGAAAAGAAACTGCAGAGACACTGAAACACAGGGCAGTGAGTGAAAACATCATCACAGCAGAAAAGAGCAGGGCTGTCCAGACGTCTCCGAGAGCAGGTCACGGACGTGGGGGGAGCGGGCGGCCCAGAGCAGCGCAGCCCGGCGAGGCAGGCAGGCAGACAGACGGCAGCGGGACCGCGTGCTCGCGTCCTCCTGCGTCCCCGGCGCCCAGCACGGCTGAGCACGCAGCAGGGCTCTGGTGAGAACGTGCTGTTCCGTGAATTTAAGGAAACTTTTTTGAGGTGAAGGGAAAAGTGAATGTGATTTAAAAGGGAATCCCCAATGGATTCCCAACAATGTGATGTACTTAATGCCACTGACTATATAGTTAAAAAGGGTTCAGACAGTAAAATGTTTCACCTACAATCTTTTAAAGTAAAATAAGTAAGTGCAAGCAGAGAGAATTCTGCATTCCAGGTCGACACGAACAAACAGAACAGTGAAGAGACCCTCACCTGAACAATCTGCCTTTTCTTCTGAGAACTTACATATAAACAGAACTTAACTGGTAAGCCAGCAGATCCCAAATCAGACATTTCCCCGGAACTGTGAGTGTTCCGTGAACTCCAGAGGGTCCCACTGCTGAACACTGAAAGTGCCATCGCGCTCTGATGTGGCACTGCGCACCAGCAGTCCACAGCGCACCACCCACCTCCCAGACGCGTGAGAGGGCCCTCCCCTTGGAGCACCTGCTGATGACATTTCCAGAAGCCTGGGGACTAACGGCTACAAGCATCCAGCTAGAAGCAACACGGTTACACATGAAGGCATAAAAATTACGACGCTCCCAGAATCCGACTGCTCATCACTGTTAAAAGCCGAAGGACAATGAAGAAAGGTTTTAGGAGGCAAAGCTGAGAAGCAAACTGGCCTCCAGTGTCCGAGGGCTCAGGAAACATCTCGGCTTTGTACCTTTCTTCAAAAATCGGTAGAAGGAGGAGTTAGACCAGGAGGCAAAGCAAAGATCCCTAAGGAACGTCTAAGAATGCCAAGGGGTCACTGCCTCTTTTCATAACAACTGGATGAATCACAACAGCAAGTTGTTTTGTTATGAATGCTTTCCCTTGTGATGGGATTGAGCCTGTAACACACAGCAGCTCCTCTGGGGAAAATTCTCCGGAGTTAGGGTTTACCCCCAGCTTCCAAAAATCCAATTTAAAGTACTTACGAATATGTAAATGCTAAAATATAACCTAGAGAAAGAACTGGAGAATAATGAATAAAATGTTATTGTGACTGTCTTTAGTGTTGGGATTTTGGCCTTTTACTTTTCCTTCTAGTTCAGTCTTTTTTTTTAATGGGCAACAGGTTAATTTTAATAATATAAAATTTACAAAAAGTTTAATCACAGCAGAGCTAGGTTTAAAGCATGTTTCTAACTCTGAAGAAAAGCCGGCTACGATAAGCAAATTCAGAAAACGTCTCGGAGACACTCAGGGAACCGTCCATCCAGCCAGAAACCTTCCTCATACCCAGAGTTCAGCCTGATTTGCTGAAACAGACTGCAGTGGAACCCTGGCAGCCGTCGTGCCTGACTCCACCTGGCATTGTTCAGTTTGGGAAGCGCTTTCCCAGTCGGCTCGCGTGCTGCCCATCACGAGGAGTGGGCAGGGCGGGCGGTGTCCCGACACTGCTGCTGTGCTGAGGCAGGCGGGCCGCAGGGCTGCTCACACAGGTGCGGGACTAGAGCCAGCTCCTCATCCCTGCCCGCCGCCCTGTCCGCTGTACTCGGGGCCTCCGGAGAGGCTGCAGGGCTCTGCAGGAGGACAGTCAGAGTGCTGAGGGGTTACACCACCCATCCTGTCCAACCCCGGGCCTGTTGTCGCGCAGACCTGCAGACAGGCGGAAGACGCGGTGTTCCAGCATCACGCAGGAGGGACGTGGGGCGGGAGGACGGAGAGGAGTGGGAAAGTCATACACAGAACCTGCCACCAGCTGTGTGGTGGTGGCGGCCCTGGGTCACCTGCCACCTACACGCTCCTCTAAACTGTGATTCCACTTGATTTTAGAAAATTGCATGGAGGCGGCGCTATGAGTCCGGGGTGGCCATTAATGTGCCCGTTAGGCTGATAAACTACTTCATCCCCATCTTTAGAGTCAGACCACCCAGCAGCGATGAGCTGTCTGGCCGGCCTGCCCCTCCCCCGCACCTGCAGGGAAATCGGGAGGGCCGTGCGCTGCCTCTCTCAGATCCTGGTGCTACGGGCCCAGGGCACTGCCCTGCCCACTCCATGCACCTGCGTTCAGGTAAGTCCTCCTCACGAGGGTGACACTGGGGGAGAGCGTGTGTCAGCAGTGGGGTGAGGATGGGAGTGGTGGGCCTGCCTTCCCTGGGAGCACAGGTCAGGGACCACTGTGCTTCCAGGGGGAATGAGTCTTCAGCAAGATCTTGAAATAAATGGAGGTGTGATTTGGGAAACTCACTCGAAAGAGAGCTCCTCGTGTCCATGGGCTAAATTCACCACAGCGAAGCCTGAGGCTCCACCTTGCTCTTACTGGAGACACGGGCAGCTTTTTGTAATAGCAAATAACAGGATTCAGGAATTTAAAAGGACCTGACACATAAAGGACCCAGGAAACAACTGTGTTTACTGCATAAAAGTGCACCCGCCCCAGGGAGCCCCAAGTTGCAGCAGCCGGTCTCGCAGCTTCCCTCCCACGGTACAAACCCCCAGCATCGAGGCGCCCCAGGAGGCCCAGTGGCCTGCCATTTTTAGAACCTCAGTCCTGAATGCCGTGTTTTTTCAAGCTGTCTCCCTTCCCTGCACATCTCAAAGATCCATTACAGTTGCCCCCAAAATCACACTCTTCATCCCAGCTCCCCTCTGGGGCACTGTCTGGGTCAGTGGGGCCTGGAACGGTGGGTCACTCCTCCCCGTCCCCGTGGTCAGCACGTGCCCTCCGTGCCCCAAGTGACCTGATCAAGAGCGTCTGAATCTCAGGGAGTGAGTGTGTCCGATTCTTGGCTTCTTTCTGCCAGGCTCACTGCCAGACACGGATTAGAACATCCATAAGAGCCTCCAGTGTAGTCTGGGCGTAACCAGTGAAGGTCCAGTTTAGGGAAAGCGGAGCGGGGCAGGAGCCCGATTCCCCGGGGACGTCCTACACTCCATGTTGTGTAAATGTTTCTCTAGATACTGCTTCTTACACTCAGTCTGCAATATGTGCTTCTGTGTGGCCAGTTGCTCCTGGTGTTCCAGGGAAGGGAAGGGATGGCCCGACCTGGCACCCGGGGACCGGCTGGCCGGCACAACCGCACAGAGGCCGTGGCCGAGGGCTCAACCAGCAAGAACATCCTAGTAAGTGACAAAGCGTAACAGGAACGAAGCGCGTGGGGCTGCCACCAGGTGGAGGGCAGTGCGGGGTACTCGATGCGTCTCCTGAAGGCCTCTTTCAGATGCCCTTCTCCCCAGGATAACAGCACCCCAGCAGCAGGGCTCCAGCGTTCAGCTGGCGGGACATGTGTGTGCCAGGGGAAGCAAGCCTTGGGTTA